ACAATGGCACTAAAAAAAGTGAGTTTTTCATACTTATGACTGTTGCAGCATCCCTATGGTCATGTGATTGACATTCGGATGCTTGACAACTGGTTCCTATTTATGACCGTTGTAGTGTCCCGGGGTCATGTAGATCCCCTTTTGTGACCTTCTGATAAGCAAAGTCAATGGGGAAACCTGATTCATTTAACAACCGTGTTACTAATTTAACAAGTGCAGTGATTCAGATAACAAATGTGGCAAGAAAAGTCATAAAATGGGGCAAAACTCACTTTAAAAAATTCTCACTTAGCAACATAAATTTTGGGCTCAATTGTGGTCATAGGTTGAGGACTACCTGTATAGTAATTGCCCTAGGCCAGTGATGGCTAACCTTTTTGCCATCGTGTGCCAGGAGAGGGGCGGGCGGGGGTCATGCACATGTGTGCCCACACCCATAATTCTATGCACCCCACGCATGCGCGCACAACCCCCCCACTCCCCCCACTTCTGGCATGCGATGGCCCAGTGGGCCCGTTTTTCTCTCACCTGGCTCCAGGTGGGACTGGAAGTTGGCAAATGGGCGTGTTTGGCCTCCGGAGGACCTCCGGGGGGTGGGGGTGGGAAAGGCCATTTTCGCCCTCCCCAGACTCCTAGAAAGTGTTGTGGAGGTTAATAAAATCAATGAACCATGAACATTTGTCTCTATGAATTTCTAACAAATGAGCCTTTAAATCATTTAACAGTAAATATTTTTATTTACATAATAAAAACATAACAATATTTATACAATTAATAAACAGCACTTAGTTACTATGATTAATTATCCTGTCAGCTATATATCTTAGGTTTAGGTTTGGTTTTATTTGATTTGTATACCGCCCTACTCCCGAAGGACTCAGGGCGGTGAACAGCCAACAATAAAATACATAAATACACAAAATTTAAAAACCTGATAAAATCAAATTAAACTTTTTGGCCCAGACAAATTAAAATACCCCAATAATTTAAAAACAGATTAAAATTTACATATTTTAAAAAGGGAAGAGATCAGGTCAAGCCCGCTTGATGGAATAAAAAGGTCTTCACAGCACGGCGGAAGGAACGCAGATCCGGGATCCTCCGTATCTCCGGGGGGAGCTCATTCCAGATGGTAGGTGCCCCCACAGAGAAGGCTCTCCCCCTAGGGGCCGCCAGTCGACACTGTTTGGCTGACGGCACCCGGAGGAGTCCCTCTCTATGAGAGCGTACTGGCCGGTGGGAGGCTATTGGTGGTAGTAGGCGGTCCCGTAAATAACCAGGCCCTAAGCCATGGAGCGCTTTAAAGGTGGTAACCAAAACCTTGAAGCGCACCCGGAAGACCACCGGGAGCCAGTGCAGCTCGCGCAGGAGAGGTGTTACATGGGAGCGCCATGTCGCTCCCATTACCACCCGCGCGGCCGCACTCTGCACCAGTTGGAGCCTCCGGGTGCTCCTCAAGGGGAGCCCCATGTAGAGAGCATTACAATAGTCCAGGCGGGAGGTGACGAGGGCATGAGTGACCGTGCGTAATGAGTCCCGATCCAGAAAGGGACGCAACTGGCGAATCAGGCGGACCTGATAAAAAATCCTCCCGGTCACGGCCGTCAAGTGCTCTTCTAAAGACAGCCGTGAATCCAGGAGGACGCCCAAGTTGCGAGCCCTCTCCGTGGGGGCCAATGATTCGCCCCCTATAGTCAGTGATGGCGTCAACTGGCTATATCGGGACGTCGGAAACCACAGCCACTCGGTCTTGGATGGGTTAAGCCTGAGCCTGTTCCTCCCCATCCAGATCCGTACGGCCTCCAGGCAGCGGGACATCACTTCAAGGGCATCGTTGGGGTGATCCGGGGTGGAGATGTACAGCTGGGTGTCATCAGCGTACTGATGGTACTCCACCCCGAAACCACGGATGATCTCGCCCAGCGGCTTCACATAAATGTTGAACAGGAGAGGTGAGAGGACCGACCCTTGCGGCACCCCACATATGAGGGGCCTCGGGGTCGACCTCTGTCCCCCTGTCAACACGGACTGCGACCGGTCAGAGAGAAAGGAGGAGAACCACCGCAACACAGTGCCTCCCACCCCTAACTCTTCCAACCGGTGCAGCATGATACCATGGTCGATGGTATCAAAAGCCGCTGAGAGATCTAACAGGACCAGGACAGAGGAGCACCCCCTGTCCCGAGCCCTCCAGAGATCATCAACCAACGCGACCAATGCCGTTTCCGTGCTGTACCCGGGCCTGAAGCCCGACTGGAACGGATCCAGATACGTTGTTTCATCCAGGTGCTGGGGAAGCTGTTGCGCAACCACACTCTCAACAACCTTTGCCACAAAACGAAGGTTGGAGACCGGACGATAATTTACCAACATTGCCGGGTCCAGGGAAGGCCTCTTGAGGAGAGGCCTCACCACCGCCTCTTTCAAGGCGGCAGGAAAGACACCCTCACCCAGCGAAGCATTTATAATCCCCTGGAACCAGCCTCGTGTCACCTCCCGAGAAGCCAGCACTAACCAGGAGGGACACGGGTCCAATAAACAAGTGGTCGCGTTCAGTCTACCCAGAATCCTGTCCACGTCCTCAGGGGTCACAGGATCAAACTCATCCCAGATAACATTCTCAAGACCTGCCCCAGTCCCTCCCCCTGAGACTATCCAGTCGGAGTCCAGATCTATATCTATATCTATTCTCTCTAAGCTATGTTATCTTTGACTATTCTTCTGTTCTATCCCCAACCCCACGCACACACACCAACAGATGTTCAAGAGTTAAAGACCAAACCAGCCGGCAAAATCCTTTTCCTTATGATAACGGAACTTGGCAACAACCTAGTGACTGCCTGCCAAGAGTTTATTATTTACAAAGAGGAGAGATAACTTCTCCCCACTTCTGATACATCAAAAGAAACAGCTCAATAATTACAATCAAGTCCAGAGATAATCCAGTCTATAGCAAAAGTCCGGCAATGCAGAATGGTGTCGAAGCTTTCAGCTTTGTTCGTCACAAGGTTTGACTGGCCACCACACTCCCTTTTATATCCTGTGGGGTGTGGTCCAGTGACCCAGCCTAATCTCGGGCACGCCTTTTCTTCTGTTGCGCGCGCTTATCTCTGCGACGCTGGCGTGGATCCAGCCAAGACTCATTACCCTCATCACTGTCCATCTGTGGCTGCGTAGACGTGCTTGGCCCCGGCCCTATCTCTTGCTCTTTGGCGGACACCAAAGGCATTGCCAGAGAGGAGGGTCCTGGAGTGGGAGGCCTTGCCAACTTCTCTCCTTCACTCTCGGAGTCCTCTCTTGCCGATGACACAGCTCAGGTAACGAAGCCACAACATCTTCCTCAGAAGAAATATTATTATAACCACCAGAACTGCTCTTCTAACAGACTTCCAAACTGCTCACAGTTGTTTAACGGAAGATCCTAGAAGAGTTAAGACCCAAGACCAAATAGCTAAGATGAGTGAAGATCGAAGAGCAACGAGTTTCTGACAAGAATCTCCTTTTATACTGCTAACTATGACAGTTAGGGTAGGACCCTGGAGATTCAAACATATTAGCTGCCCTCTGATTGGCTTATGTATCTGTCCATTCCAAAAGCCATTAATAGGCACAGCTATAGAGAAATAAATTTTCTCTAACAGAAAGGCTCTGGAGCCAGGTGAGAGAGAAAAACGGGCCTTTCCCACCACCCCTCTGGAGGCAGGAAACAACCTGTTTCCCTACTTCTGGTGGGCCCAGAAGGCCCAAAAATCAGCTGGCGCACGCTGGAGTTGAGCTTGCATGCCCACTGATATGGCTACGCATGCCACCTGTGGCTTGTATGCCATAGGTTCGCCATCACGGCCCTAGGCTTTTGAAAGCAATTTTCCTCAATATAGTACCTTTTTTATGTACTTTCCCATAATATATGAAGCCTTTTGGTGCAGGGGTGTTTAGCTGGAAACTTTACCACAGTACAGGTTTTGCCGTATAGTTGTGTTACAGTTCATTCATAGACTTGGGTGTGCATGGATGGAACAAATTCCCATTAAAATGCAAAATCAAGCGATTTCTTCCCCGTCTTTCTAATGATAATATGGGTCTTAATGTGCCTGACTCTTAGACTTTTCCCATCTCATAAACCACCCACCTTCTATTCAGTCCTGACTTAATTTAATTTAATTTTCCAACTCACTGCTGATGCAAGTAAATTATTACTTACTAGTATTCCACTGCCATCTTCTTTCAGTCTTAGGCAGGGCAGGAATTTGTTTATGGAGCTGCCTTTCGTCTCTTTGGAATTAAATTCCAACAACAGAATGGTCTGAAAGCTCTGAGAAATTACCAAATATTTTTAACTTATGAATATTAACACAGGATGTCTTTTGATAAGTCACTTCATAGAGACAGCCGCACAAGGAACTTAAAATTTAGCGAGTCTATCTTGCACGCATATTATTAGTAGTTGAAACCACTTTGAGAAGAGAAATTATGTAAATTGATATCATGCTAGGATATAGCATCCATGCTGGGAATTCATAAGAAGTAGCTTGACAGTGAAATATTTCACTCTGAGCAAGAACAATCTGACATTTAGGACTCCTTACATTAACAACTATTTTTCTTTCTTTCCTTCATAATGAACATTTTAAAGGGGGGGGGAATCCCCTTGAAAGTAGAAACTATAAATCTGCCACTTTACCATTCTGACCTTTGAAGGAAAAGTGGATTGGAAAGCAATAGGCGACGGCATTAAAAAAGGAAGAAAATAGCTGGTGCTTGTCCATGGTCAGTTAATAGCTCAGTGGCTTTTATTCCCTAGCTCCATACCTGCAAAAGACTCAATAAAAGGATCAGGCTCAGGACCAATTAGTGTCACATTAATCTGTAGCGATAATGAACAGAAGCTGCTGGAGGCCCTACCAGTTTCTCGGTATGCTTTATGATGAGGCTCTTGAGTGAGCTATGCTGTGCGATGGAGGGCAAATTGGGAAGGCGCGTTGAAGGATCGCTTCTTTCATGCATGTCTGGCAGCTAGGAAAACCATGCCTGAGAGGGAAAAGCCTGTTAAGTGCTGAGGACGTCTGCTGCTTTCTTGGCAAGGGAAAATGTCCGACACAATGTAAGCTGGCTTCAGAAAATTAGGTCACTTCTGTTAGATCAGCAACTATGGCCTTTCCAGAATCCTGCCTTTGAGATCTATTTTCCAATCTTCTCAAATGCTTCCAGGTTGTCGGTGATGAGAGGCTGATTTTGATTAGAAAAGTCATAGTGGTGCTGTAGTACTCTAGTTTTTCTCTTGAGATCGTATAAATCTGTCAGTCCTATGTGTGTTTTGTTCTAGCCGTTGGGGAGATGTAGAAAAACTTTCCCGGTTATTGATTTCCACATATGGGAAAAGAGTTCGCTGTCATTTAATTTGCCACCTGCAAATGAACTGAAAAGACTTGGGAGTTTATCAAATTTCATTTCAATACCAAGCCTAAATTGCTCTGAAGAAGTTTGGGGAGGGCTAGATATTCTGTTAATAAATAACGCTAAAAACTTGAAATCTACTAACTGACGCATCTGTCTGTTATGCCCTTCCTTCTTCATGTGTATCGTTTTTGTTATTTAACTTGAGGAATTTTAACTGAGTTATTCGAATAGCAAGTTTTAGTAATATTGCATACTTTAGCTCTAAAATGGTTGAGCTGGTTGCAGAAAAATTTAATTTACTTATGACTAATTCATATCCCATATAACTGGAAATGGGTTGCTTCCGATATAGAATACTGAATTGGGAATAGTACTGTAACTACAAGGTAAATAATTTCATGATGTTATTTTAATACTATTTGTGTTGATTCACTAAATGGCTGAATATGCATTTTTTTGGGGGGGTGGAATTGTAGTATAGTTGTCTTGTATCTTGGTCATTAGAAAGTCAAGGTCTCCCTGTCTGGATTTGATAAGTTTATGGAATCATAGTTGCTCTCCATTATGTTTGTAAAGACTGCTAACGCATTAGGTTTTGTAACCAGCATTTTCTCAGGAAAGCAGGAGAAAATCTTAATAGAATAGAATAGAATAGAATAGAATAGAATAGAATAGAATAGAATAGAATAGAATAGAATAGAATAGAATTCTTTATTGGCCAAGTGTGATTGGACATGCAAAGAATTTGTCTTGGTGCAAACGCTCTCGGTGTACATAAAAGAAAAGATTCATTCGTCAAGAATCATAAGGTACAACACTTAATGATAGTCATAGGGAAACAGTCAATATAAATCTTAAGGATACCAGCAACAAGGTTACAGTCATACAGTCATAAGTGGGAGGAGATGGGTTATAGCCATGGAGTTTTTGCATCCCATGAATGTGTATGGGTGGGAAGGTGGGAGGCTTCAGAAAGGCATGGTCACCATGTTCTAAGTTTGACTGGAGAACCTGTAAAAGAGGAGGATATATATAGAGTGACAAGTGACATTAGTTTTTTTGCAGCCATTGTGTAGCAAGGATGGATTTAGTCAGGCTTTGCAATGAGTAATAGAGGTTAGTTTATGGTGAGTAGACTTTTCCCCTTCTTTAACTTGTCCACTTCTCATCAGTTCAACAAAGGGCTGAGCTTGATGCACTCTATCTTCCTCAAGGCCTGACAGTGAGGCATGATCTAAAGGTACTTGGTCCAACTGGACTTTGCCACTCTTAGAAGACAGGTTAGCTCACTTTGGGTCATTTCAGCCCATTTGGAGATTGCTTTGCATGATTCTTTCCTTTTTCCATACACAAACAGAAGGAAAGATAGAAGATGTGATTCTGCCCGTGTCATACCTTGTTTTTTTTTGAAAGGTCAACTTATCTATTTCCCTTGAGGAGAAAGCTGAGAGAAAGATGTAATCTCTTTTCTTTAAAAAAGAGGAACAAAACAAAACACAACATTTTACTTGTAAATTGGAACTGCTGCTACAATGGCTAAAAGCATGCAGTTCTCAAATTGGAGCAACAGGCGCCAAAGCTACAGTATCCTGTTGCTCAGAATGTCGTTTGTCTTCACTCATGATTGTGAAGAATGCTAGAAATATTTCCTCAGTAGAATATACTCTCCCCCCCACCACCACCACTCTTAGGGTAATTTAAATCAAGAAATTAATTTCTTCTATGCCCTATTTCTGAATTAGACCTTTCAAAGTAACTGCTTAAGAAAAGGTTAAAGAACTGGAAGTCCACTCACAAGATTCCCAAACATGATGCTTGTTTAAACTTCACCTGAATCTTTGGTGCTGGTCGTCCGAAGGTACAGTGGAAGACAATGTGATTTCCACATAGTATAGATTCATGCAAGACTTACTTCTAGAGGGTATTTTTATCAAAAGGAGCATAGAAGAATGCCTGAGATATTTATAATTTGTTCAGATTCCTTTCTGAGTATTTTGAATTTGTGCATATGGCACCTCACACATGTTCTAACAATCTGGAATTGTTAGACTGCTTGGTCAATCTGTTCACGTAGCTGTGGGTTGTTTTATCTACTGATCCTGTTTGAAGATAATGGCAACAAAATTTAAAATCCTAAACGAATGAAAGAATAGACAGATGTTTCATTTTAAGTCATTTGGATATAATGCAGCCAGATTGTTTTCACACAGCCAACCCAAAAGCTTTTTTTTTGTGTCTGGTCTACTGAAATAAATGGAATAAAAAAGGATGTGTTTTTGTTCATTTTTATTTCAATGGGAGAAATTTCAAAGTACAAGAAAATATAATATATGCAGTGATTTATACATGCTGTGCTTTTCCTTTTTGCTAAAATTTCAAGGTTGTTAGGAAGGGGGGAAAATTTACAATTCAATAATTTCGTTCCAGTTTGAGAAGGAAGGGAGGGAGGAAGGAAGGAAGGAGCTTCTCAATTATTGACCATGCTGTTGAAAAGGTGCTTTTTCAAAAGGCAACTGGACTTTCTTTGTTTTTCCTTCTGTGTCTCATCTAAGAAGCGTCTTCATTTCAGACTGAATAGTGGAGAATGGAATGATTTATATTTCTTGCAGTTGTTTGGTCACTAGCAGTCTTTCTGAGATTTGTTGAGGCCACTTGGAGGTTTTTCCGTGCCCTCAGGATCTCCTAAATAGTGCAAATGGATGTGAAACCTTCTTGGAACTGCTGAAAGTTCCAACCATGACCTGGATGACTGAGAATCTCCATAAATATTGACTATGCTTTAATTCTCTAGTTAATTTAGTTGAGAAATACTCCTCTGGTGATCATTCATCATTCTACACAGTGTTTATTGATCTTAGATGTGGATTTGATTTCATCTCCAGATCTAAACGATAGGAGGAATTGAACTGTTTCTCAGTTAATAAAAGATTACTCGTTCTTATTTTTTTTTTTTAATTTATATTCATGAAATATGAAAACTCCCAGATGAAGGTGCATGTGGCCACTGCACCAAGGAAATTCCTGTCAAGAAGAGAGACAGACTAGGGTGTTTTTCTAATTGCTCTTCTTTTTAATCTATATATTAACTCTCTTGTAACCAAACTGAAGTCCATCTCTTCGTCTGCCAAAATTGGGAAACAGACACTGTTGTTCTGTATGTAGATGATGTCATACTACTTTCCCAGATGTAGATTGGCCTAAAATGGGAACTTTATATATATATATATATATTTATATATATCGTCACCGCTACCGGCTCGGCCGAACCGGACCGAACCGGGAGGAACCCACCACTGACATTACCCCTAAACACCACAAAAACAGTGTTGATTTTACAATCTTTCTACTTTTCCAAAGGAATTCAGCATATGTGTGCAGTGATTAAAGTATTTTCAGCTAGGATCTGAACCCAGCCTCTTTTTGGGGTTCATTTGGGACCTTACAGGTCATTCCTTTCTCTTGGAAGAGTTCAATCCACGTTCTTGAGACAATTTTTCAAGTATCCTGCTGCATTTTGAAAGTGGTGTTTCACTGTGAAGCTGGCCTACTTAAAACAGAAACTTCTGCCTCGATTTTCCTTTTTGAAGGGGTTTACTCATGGCCAGATTCAATGCCCTTCAAACAACTGTTATTGAAGGGAGATACCAAAAGATCAGAAATTGAACAGAGACTGTGTTCAGATGTGGTGGATGAATAATTAAAACAATGAAAACACATCATTTTGTATCATCCCCTCCACCCAGATGCTCACCAGGAATTATTATCTCCATTCCATATTAAACATCCTGGTCATTCAGACTTGTTTATCTGAAGTTGTTATTATCAGATCAATCTGGTTTTACTTGTTTAACCATAGCTAAGTATTGTTCTATAGTTTGTACAGTAAGCCATATTATTTCTTCTAATAATTCTATTCAGCCATACTATTTCTTCTAATCAAAAAGGAACAATAGTTTCCTTTTTAAAAAATCTGAATAATTGTGATTTTCTACCTGTCAATCACCAAATAAAAATTGATTGATTGATTGAAGAAAAAAAATCGCATGTTAGTGAAAGTCTATTTTTTATCAAGTCAGAATTGCACAAACAGCATATTTGTTGATTCCTTCCTTCCAGCTTCATCACAACCTTTTCTTTTTTGAAAATTCAATAGATCCTCAAGGAATATATTTTTGTTTAGTTGTTGGCTGAGAGCCAAATATTCCTTCCAAGCCGGTGAAAGGGATAGTTTTACCCAGGTTGAAATAGTTTTTCCCTCTTATCTTGACACTGTACAACTTCAGTGTGTATATAATCTGTCAGGCTTTGTGCCTCTATCTCTTGGTGGTAGGAATGTGCAAAACTTACATATTTGGGAATGGACTATTCAAGAGAATTTCAGAACATTTCATTCCCCCTTTGGGTTGTCTTCTACCTCCTCCAGTTCCTGTCATTCTTAGACATTCTGCTTCTGAGATTTATAGGAGGAAATCCTCCCAAAAGAAGTGATTTAAAGTGAGCCAAATATAGTCCAGCCTCCAGACAAGCCTGCTTTATCTGAAACATCATGTTCAAGACACCTTCAACTTCTTCCTATGTGTAAGATTTACTTTCAGAAGCTGCTGGACTCTCCAGTAAGTTATATCATTTATACAGGAGTTTCAGCTTGGTCTGGAGGGGAAACAATATTCTGGAATTCAGTGGAATACTTTATTTCTAAATCAG